CATAACAGTGCATGATTTTGGACAATATCACCTGAAATATTGTATAAATTTTCATAGCTAACAATATCGTGTATCTTGAAATGTTCCTACATAAACCAGTTTTCACTATCATAACAGTGCATGATTTTGGACAATATCACCTGAAATATTGTATAAATTTCAATTTGGTAAAATGATTAGGATCTGAAATACAATCCTCAGATTCTGATATATATATATAGAAAAGTAGTTTCTAGTACATAAGAAAAATATAATTGATTAGAACTTAAATCGTGTATTCTAGAATGTTTATATATCTCATTACAGTACACTAGCAAATCAAACTATCCGGGAAAAAGACAGTGATGTACAATACTTTCAAAGTGCAAAGGTTTTTAAATACCAAAAAGTGGAACAGAACGATGCATGACTGGACATCAGTTAACCTATGTGTCTGTTTCTCAATGTTACAAGTAAAAACACGGTTGGTTCTCAAAAGACGACAAATTTATGTTTACTGATCAAAAATTACGTTCTAATGGTAAGGCAACAATTAAGCACAAAAATGTTTTAGTCATTGAAATAATACAAGATGAAACTGAAACCAAAACCATTACATAACTGCTATATACAAAAATAAGCAGAATAAAGATAAGAAAAGGTTTCTGGCTTTTAAACAGCAGTACGATAACAGAATGACTACAAATACAGTTGAAAATAAAATGAGAGACCTGGGTAACTTTTTAAGTCTCATAAATGCTCCTGCGTAAAACACCACATAGAAATTTTTAAGAATAGTTGCTCAAGTCAATAGAAAATAAACATTTTCAAACTATACAGCTGTAGTCGTACAACATCTTTATACAAGAACTAGTGACAGTAATTTCAGTTCATTATATGCATTCTGCAACAAATAGTAAAAGAAACTAAATCAAAAATACAGTATTTACAAGTGTACATCAAATAAATAAAAATAAGCAAGGTTTGTTTGTTTCTTCTTTTACTCATTTTTCAGTATTGCTCGCTGTCTCACTTTCAATTGCTGAATTTAAGTCCGGTAGAGACACGGAACCTTTCACACCTCGTTGGGAGAGCTCTTTTAATTCTAGGTCTCTTGTTTTTTCTGAACGACGTTGAATGAATTTTCCACTTGTGAATCCTTCAGGAGAAAACTATGCTAATCTTTAAAAATATAATTTTAAAAAATCTACAAGAATTTCAAAGAAAATACTTTCATGTCAATGGAACGTAAAACTCTACCTTACGTTTGTGGGTGTGCAATAAATCCAAAATAAACTAAAAAGAGGGATTTAGATAGCACTCATAGTATGGTTAGTATTTTCAGGAACAGAAGTATGAATGGTGTTAAATTTTGTATGAATGGATTGATCTATTTATTTGGATAATGGCTAGGAATAAAAAAATATAAAAAAGTCTAAATGTTTGTTATATTGAGAAACATTTCTCATCCCACATACTATAAACAGAGCATCAGGAAGGTTATTTTACAAACACAAACATTTCTCATCCCACACACTAGAAACAGAGCATTAGGAAGGATATTTTACAAACACAAACATTTCTCATCCCACGTACTAGAAACAAACCATTAGGAAGGTTATTTTACAAACAGAAACATTTCTCATCCCACGTACTAGAAACAAACCATTAGGAAGGTTATTTTACAAACAGAAACATTTCTCATCCCACACACTAGAAACAGAGCATTAGGAAGGTTATTTTACAAACACAAACATTTCTCATCCCACACACTAGAAACAGAGCATTAGGAAGGTTATTTTACAAACAC